CTATCCAACTTAATATGTAATATTCATAATTAATTAAAATGTTTGTTTATATTTAAAAAATTATTTAAAAAACAAATTAAAAATATTTCTGATAAATAAGTATTTCAGCAAAAATTTTTTTACATTAAAATCAGTTTAAATAAAATTAAAAATTACATAAATATTAAATAATACTTATTTATAATACTTATAATTTTATTTATTTAATATTTATTAGTATTATAAATTATAAATAAGTAAATTTATTTAAAACGATATATATAATAATAATAAATAATAACAAAGAGCGTACTGCTAGGAACAGCTAAGAGCTATTGCGAAAAACCCCAATATACAGACCTTTACAGGCTCCGAGATTGAGAATGCGTCTTACCACCCACACGGTGCGAACTTTCTTTTGTTAAAATAATATATATAAAAAATAATATATACAAAAGTAATGGATATTTTTTATTTTATATGATTTAATTCAACGTTAATTCATTAAATTTAATGAAAATTTATATTAATTTATATTGCTTTTTAAAACAAAGCACTAGAAAAATAATAAAAAAGTGCTAAATAGCAGTAAAATTTTAAAATAAATTAGATTTTTTAGTAGAATTCATTATAAAATAACATATTGTTTCAATGAACTTTCAGGATTACAAAAGAGTCGTTTATAACCCCTCGTAAAGCAATTTATCTTTCGGCAAATAGCGAGAAAATATTCACTTCGACAATCGTGCATTATTCTGGGATTATATTGGAAAAAAACTTTCGAATCTTATAAAACAACTTATCCTGGAAATGCATATACAATACTGGGGCCATAGACATGATTGACTAAAAGTAACTATTTTAATTCCACTTTTTTGGATAATGATGATTAACCAACCGGTTCTTCATCGCCTTCGAAGATATATAAATCTATAAATATGAGCCTATAAATCACAAAAGCTCCTATAACCCACTAGTCGTTTTTGATAATTCTATGCGAACTCGTAATTAATTTTTTAGATATTTATTGGCTCTTCACTAGTTGCAGATCAGAAGTTGCAAATCTTGTTTCACTAAGAAGAGTTAAAGAGTTAAGATCTGACTATTAGCAACAAGATTTTATTCAGGTGCACCAATTTTAATGCGACCAGAGATACTACTGTTTGTAGTACCAATGTCCTGTCGCATAATTTTTTCTTTTGAAATATTACAAGTCACCATGTGATATATCCTTATCTTCATTTTTAGACACACTCCTAATAATTGCTTCATATAACTTCATAGAAATTAGCGTTAGTATAGCAATTAGAATAATGCAACTGTAAGCACAACAGTGAATAATACAATATTAAGGGAGTGGTATTACAATAATAATACAATAATATATTGAGAATTATAATGAATCACCATCCAAGCAAAAAAGAGTAGTATGCTCTGAAATATAAGGGATGATCCGGTCAAGAAGTGGCAACAGGAACCATAAGGAAGACCTTCTAATAAAGCGTCAACAAGTGCTCTATATTAATCGTTATAATATTGTTTACATCTTGTAAAACGCTAGGCTCGGCCTAGCTTAGTATTGCCCCCATCCTTTTTTCTCTTTTTATTTCATTTTATATTTTTATTTATTTCTATTTCTATTTGTTCCGTTTCTGATTACTTTCGCATCATTTATTATCAATAAGATCAGCGGCATACGACTTTATTGCTTCTTTTTAGTTTTTAAATAAAACTGCATTCTTTTTCATAATTTCCATAAAAATATTTCGCGGATTTTTATTTAAAAAAAGAAACGAAAAAAATTGAAACAAAAAGTCATTTGAAAATGAAAAAAAGCAGTAAATTATTTAAACCATTCATTCATAAAACAAAGGAAAATTTAATAAACAAAGAAAGAATTTCAGTGAAAAAGCCGTTTAAAGAAATTCCGAAATCGTACAATATTAATAAATTTTTATAAATTAAAAAATTTTGTGAATTTAAATCAAATTTATTATTACAGATTGTTACTAATTGTTACTAATTTTCATTATTGCTTAAAACATTTAAATTTTAGAAATTAAAATTACAATAAGTGATCGCTTGAAGATTAATTAGCGATTAATATAACTATTAATAACTATTGTTAAATTTATTCTTTTAATTGAACTATTAATTGAATTATGTTTGATCGAATTTTTTTAAAAAGTTTAAATTTTAAATTGAATCTTTAAATTTTGCATAAAATTATCATCTTTTAGATATATTTAAATTTCATAGAAAAATTTGCAAAAAAATTTTATGAAATTCAATATTTCTTTTGATTTAACATTTATTTCTGAACGAGTTTTAGATTTTATTATATAATCTATTATTTCTTCTTCGATGATTGACTGCTTACCTTTTATTTCTTTTATTTCATCAGAAATAAAATTATCACTGAAAAATCCAAGTGATGAATTGCTATTCATCTATATTCATCAGTGGCGATATATATATATATATATATAATATACTTACTGGTGACCAATGGAACAAGCGTTCTGCTCTCTAATGATTTAATTGGTTTAATTAGGTTTCAGACATCATTCGGAATGCTATATATACTCTTAATAAAAGTAAAGCCTGGACCATTGTTTTTGAATGTTAATGGATCATTACGACCTAGGAAAGCCACACTCCATTTTTTTAAGAGCTTATAAGAAGTTCGTCAAAAGTTAAAACAGATTAATAAAAAATTTCCTCAATTTTCTTTAACTTTTATATAGGAAACTGAAAAATTCAGATAATAATTTTTTCTCTTATTAATTGATCAGTGATTAAACAATTTAATATGTAAAGCTTAAAATTTTCATGTTAACAGATATAAAATGTGCCAGAGAGTCATTTAATAAAAATACAGGTACATTACCAGTGCTACTCTGATCTTTAAATTGCAAGCGACCTTTTTTAGGTCGCTTTTTACAGAAATCATATTTATCATATCATATTTAGAAATAAAATTTCAAAATAAGTAAACCACAGTTAATGTAACAATTAAAAATCATGACTTAAATATAAAGATTTGATTTAACAAGTTATATTTCCATTAAAATTTATCAGATTGCAATTTATTTTAAATTATCGTAAATTTTATCAATGATAATGATAATCAATGATAATCTATTATTTCTTCTTCGATGATTGACTGCTTACCTTTTATTTCTTTTATTTCTGACGAAAATAAAAATTAAAGTCCCAAACTTGATATTCGAAACGATAATTCAGGCAAAAACCACTTTTCTCGGGCTCCATTCCACTTATATGCATTATAAGAATGAAAGATCAGTAGTGCCTTGGACCTAATTTGGAATCTAATTTGACGAGGTTCCAGGCAGGGAGATTTCAAGCTGAAAACAATTCCACAACTCGCATTTTTAAGTTTATCAACCTGAGATAGATAATATGCCACTATGTATGTTCTTTTATTATTTTTTTCAACCATTTTCTATGAAAATTGCGATACGAAAAAGGAAGAAAAAACTATATTTAACAAGGTTGAAAACAAATCATATTGATAAAATTTCCGATAATTTAAAATAAATTACAATCTTATAAATTTTAATGGAAATACGAATTATTTTTTGCTTGCTCTTTTTGCATTTTAATTACCATTTCTCATTCCGCTGGCTTATAGGGCACGCATATTTCGCTGGGACTCAAAATATGGCGATAGAAACGCAGATCAAAAGAAGGATTTTGAGATAATAGGACGCCAGTATCAGCGTTTCGAAATGGGAACAACTGATTCATTCACATATATGAGGTCTTTCGGGCCATTTGTTTGGTTTTAGTGCTACGTACTTTTGTTTGAACCATGTTGGTTGACATGTCATTCCACTCAAACTTTCTAATTTTTTTTTACATTGTAAGAGCAATAGCTAAAATTTTTTTTTGATTGATTTACTTTGACCCAGAAGAAAAAGAATGATTTCCAATTATGAATTCCTGAATAAAATATTGGGGGTGATCCTAGAATAAACCATGTAAATTTAGCTTGAAGTTGAACTTGAAGTTTGACTTGGAGTTATGTGGAATCAAGAATAGAAAAGAAAAATGGAATGGCGAAAAAGCTTAACAACTGAGTACCACACGAATTGACTTAATAGAAAAATGATCAGCCTGTGTTGTGAAAATGATCCTTTTCGTGGATGAATTTTTACTTGCGATAGAAAATGGCTTTGCTATGACAACAAGAAGATAAAATTATTGGAGATGATAAGAACGAACAACTCGATTTATACTAAAACCCGATTTTTATTCGAAGGCTTGAAAACCTGATGTATTAATTATAACAGAGTTCTGTAGCATTCAAAATGCTCCAGAGAAACTAAGAATATAATCCTGGCGCTGATCTACCGAAAAAGAGCCATCACGCACGTCTCACCGCACAAGAACCCCTTTATAAAAAACTGCGAAGTGAACAGGCGAGTCCTTCTTCACATTCCTCAGAATTTTCGCCAACAGATATTCATTTTTTCCACTCTCAGCAGCTTTCTGATGGCGAAATATATTCAGAGACAGGAGAATCGAGATGACCTTCCAGCGGTTCACTGATAGCAGAATCCTAGTCCTTAGTCTAAGCGATTATGATATTTGCATTACATTGGTGGTGATTGATAATGATTGCAATGGTGTTTTTTCAATTTTGATAAATTTTGTTTGTCAAATAAATTTTGGTAAAATAAATATTAAAAAATATTAAAATAAATTAAAGCATTTTTTGATTTTTCGATTAGGAAAAAACCTTTTCTTTACATTTTTTATATATTTTTTCTTAATGCATATTAATAATAATTCAGTATTTTTTACTTTTAATATTATTTTTATTTATTATTATGTTACTTAATATTATTATATTAAATAAATCAAAATAAAAATAATAACAAGAGTGGAGATCTTAGTATTAAAACAATCCTAATTATCATAATTAATTTAAATAAATTCTTTGTTTTTTTCAAATTTCATGTCTGAATTAATTTCATATGCTCGAACGTCGGTCCTTATTTTGGAACATATATACCATTTAAATGTTCGACTTCATCAGGTTTTGCTAAAAAAAAATATTGAAATGTGAAGAAATAAACGACCGAAAAAAGGAAAAATTTGTTGATTGCATAAGGAAGAAAAGAATGAAAATGATAATGGTGAAGAACGATAAGAAGGAGGAAGAGGAAGGGAAGCAAGAGGAAAGAGGAAGTGATAAGAGTTTCTAAAATTTTACTGTAAATTTTCAAGAGCTGAAACATATATTGCCAATTCAACTAATTTTTAGCTAGTTTTCAGTAAAATAAATTTGATAAATAAAAATAAATTTTTAAATAGATAAATAAATCATTCCGACCGATAAACCATATTTATAATTTAAAAAAAAACAGCAACTCAAGCAGAATTTTTTTAAAAAAATATTACCAATATAATCAAGTTGCGGTTTTCGACGTACAATCTTATGTAAGAAGCATTTCTCCCAACATAAACAAATAACAATAACAATCGTAAAAATAGTGAATGCTATTATGGAAATTGTTGATAAGATCGCTAATTTACTGGAAAAAAAACGCATGAAAACTCTAAAATCATTATAGAAGGAAAGAGAGGAAAGGCCTTTCAGAGATTTGAGATTAGTCGATCAAAATTTTTAAAATTTTCTATCGCCCTTCTAATTACAATCCATCGTTACGTGTTTTATCGATTTTACAGCTGTCTTCCGATTCAATTGATAGAGTCACGCTTTGAAGAGTGATGGAATATGACGGTTCCAGAGAAGAGACGGTCATTCGACTCATAAAGGCATTTTATCAGTATATATCGGCAGAACCTATAAGGGGACCGGCGATATATGGACTTAGCCGATGGAAAAGGAATGACTTCTATTACTGGTTTCTATTATCAACGAGATAATCGTCCTTCTATAAATATGTATTTTAACGAATTGAACTAAAAGATTACTTATTTTCATAAAAAGTAGCTTCCCGACAACAATTATATTCCGGTGCATCACAACAACGATTCTCCAAGGAAGTATGTTTCTTCGTTGGGCAAATATAGAAAGCAATTCGTTTCTTATCAACTACTATATCGCCACATCGATTTCGTTCTAAAAAAATTTTATAAAAAAAAATTTGAAATGGGAAATTAACCCAAATCATGATTAAGATTCGAGCTGAAACGAATAGTTAATAAATTTTTAATATAAATAAATTTTTCGTCCCAATACGGTTGGTAAAATGGTTCAGCGGGTTGTTGATTACGGGGCACCGTTGATGTAGGTCCTTTCCCAAATGGGTAAGCCTAATCTTCCGAAGGTAATGTTGGCGATCCAGTCAAATCAAAACTTGCCAAAATGTTAGGTCTAACAAGCCAGCGAAGCGAATCTTCCCAGAAATGTAGAGTACTTTTCAAAAGAATATTAATTTCCGGTTTTCATTTTTTCCCCTTTTTTCCCCTTTTTACCAGGTGATCAGCGAAAAGACCTCATCTTAATAGCTGAGAGATATAAGATGGGACGCAAAAAAAACATTGGTCATCCTAAAATTAAGGTTATCTCAATTGAATAAATTCAAGTTTATAAAGCGATAACTTGAAGCAATCAACGGAATAGAAACAAACCAATAAAATAATCTGTGGCGATTGCGATTTGCGAAAAATAGGAACCAAATAAAATTACATGAAAAGCTGCTTTCATTAGATTTTTATCGATAACAAATAGATATTTTCAAAAAAATATGAAATAAACGAATTCAATTATGAATGAAATTTTGATGAAATCGTTAAAAATTTTCTGCAAAAACCGTATTAAATTAAAAAATTTTGTAAGAAAAAAATATAAAAAAACCGCACGATTTTTAAATGGAAAATAATTTTAAAGCCAAAATTAAAAAAAATTTTCATAATTTATAATATTTTATACTTTAAAAAGAAAATTAGATCAACTCTTCTGCTTTATTCTTCTAAAACTGGCTGACTGAATAGTAAAGTGGGGCGAACTTTGCAATGCAATCATTTAGGGGAACTAATTTCATTGTTGGTAGTAGAAATACAACCTATGTATATTACTTATTTCTTACCTAACCGAATCAGCATAGAACTCAACAGCTATCTATAAAATATTTCAGTACATATGCGAATCATAAATATTGAATAATATTGCACTACAGTACTACAGTAAAATGACTGAACAAACAATTCAGTTTGTTTGATTGTCGTATGAAAATAAATGTAAATATAATTATAAAGTAATACTGGTGAATCCGAAAAGAACAAAAACTTAATGAACTTAATGAAAAGAAAAGTCAAACATTTAAATGCATGTTTTTTCATATTTATTGATATCACTGTTGTGAAAATAAATCGGAAATATTTTACCATTAGAGACGCAAAAAGGTCGATCTCGGACCACATTTGCCACATTTCGTTCTTAATGGTATATTGTTTCTTGCCACAGAACCAAAAGAATCGAAAACACAGCATTGTTCCGAAAGCAGGCTATTGCAAATTTCCCGCGTGCATGCTACCACAGATGTCTCGAATGGATGCTAGGAATCGCGCTATTATAAACATCTCGGAAGCATGCAAATTTCTCGAAGGACATGCAGGCGTAAATGTCTCAAAAGCATGCTATAATAAATATTTTGCAACACCCATTTGAGTATTTCCTCGAGAAATAAAAAGCAAACTTCAAAGCTTTAAGATTCAAATGACCATAGGACCTTAAAATTCTTCGAAATATTCTCCAATTGAAAAAGTTAAGGAAACAGTACCAAGCATTACAAACATACGATTTTCCCGTAATTATCCTATTATGATTTTGATATAAAAGGAATGCGAGTCAATTGCTATATCTAAGCTGACCTGGGTTTGCTGGGTTATTATATCTCGATAGGAGAGAATTGCATTGGTCTAATTCGGTTGTACTGTCCTTGACAGATTCTGTAGACATTAAACTCGCTTGTTTTGTCTCATTAGGAAAAGAATGCATTCACCATTAAAAGGTTTCGTTGAATAAATTATTAATATGAATTCACAATAGGATAATTTATAGCAATAATTAGATAACTTTTATTTATAAAAATTATAAACGAACAAACTTTTAATAAATAGCGAATAAGTTGGAAATCTTAGGTTTAATGTTTATTAGCACAGCAATACATACATTTATCACCACATACATACACATGTATAAATCAAGAATAACAAAATGAAATTTATGCGAAGGAATAGGCAACTAACTCGCTCAACTTTCAGCGCAAACTCCTTTTAGGGAGACTCACAGCCTTTAATACGATTAGGAATTTGATATTTTAATATTTCGCATTATGAAGAGTTACAGAAGTATGATCAGCACCATCCGCATTTTTTGACAGATCTACAGAATTACGAATGACATATCCAAGCGGGAGTGGAACCACAGCCTCTCAACACAATAGTCCATTACTATAAGCGGCTAAGCTTGGTCAATATATTGATATTTTCATCGTTCCCTTCTCTTCGTCTTTGTTGCATACATTGCCAAATATATCCATTATAATATTGATATTGAACTACAAATATTCTAAATCAATAAAAACGACTTATTCGCCAACTAATTCAATTCAAAATTCAGGAACTGAAATAGTTAAATCCATACGATTTTTTTTTAATTCCTCACCATTACTGGTTAAATTCGCTCCGCTGGCTTGTCACATTGAACAAGTATGCCAGGGAGTCCTTTGGCAATAGAAATAGAGATGAATCGCCAGCACCACCAGGATTTTTGGACAGGTTTACTCCTGCAGGGAATCGAATTTCAGCATAGGCGCTCCAAATTGAGCGACAACCCACTGAGCCATTCTATCCCCACTTTCACACTCAATCCACACGATTAATCCATAAATAAAAAATATTCTAAATTATATTTATATTTTTAAAAAAGAAAATTATATTGAAAAGATCTTTAATTGAACTTTTATTAATATGAACTTTTTTTAATATGATGTGAATGAATGAATATGATGATAATAAATTATTAATAAAAATTTATAAATTTAACAATAATAATAAAAGAAATAAAGAGGAGTGATGAGTTTTCGCTCTCTCTTCAGGGGTTTTGCTTCTGACGGAACGAAAGCTTTCAAAAAATGGCAAAATCGATGTTGGTGACCCATATATATGTCTAATGCCCAAGTGACAATTTCCTGACGAAATTTTTATGAATTTTTTAAATAAATTATTTTGACAAACAAAAGAAATTAAAAAAGAACTCTTTATTTCTGGATAATGATAATGCCCACTTGTATTATTTTTATTATTAATAATTTATTATTTATTTTTGTTTATTATTACTTATTATTATTATTTATTGTTAATCATCATTATTATTTATTTTATTATTATATCATTATTTGTTATCAATTATTATTAATTACTGTTATCATTATTTTATTATTAATATATCATTATATAAATTTTTATAAAAAGCTTCTATAAGCTTCTATTTTTTTGTAAATTCTTTAATAGAAGAAAATAAATATTATAGAATAATTTTATCAATATTATACATTTATTTGTAAAAATTATTTTTATAAATCACAAAATTTTATTATTTGGAAGCGTTTTTTTCTCGTCTTTTTTTTGTATATGAACTTGAATAATAAAAGTAAAATAAAATTTAATCCAAAACAAGTTTTTGATAATTCTTCAGTAAAAAAACGATTTTAATTTCATTTTATTAAATGAGAATAACTGACTAGTTTTCTTTGCTGCAGTTTACCGATTTTTATGGCAAAAAAAAACTTTCATTTGTCGAGGAATCAATTGAAATTTATCTATAAATTTGGTATTTTTTATGGGAATGGTATTTTACTAAAAAATATTAGAAATTCACTTTAATTAATGCGAAGATTTATTTCTGATTAGATGCGCAAATCGCACTATCTGTTAGTGAAAATCTATTCAGTATATTGAATTATAATTCAATATACCTAGGAATCACTTCTGTGTAATCTATCTTACTGTAAGCTTATCAGTGAAATAAGTAAGCCTAAAATGATAGGAAAAATGATGAAAAAGATGATTTATCTAAATGAATGAATATAAAAAACATGGAATAAACAATTAATAATATTAAGTGACAACGAAAAGAAATAGAAAAGTCGAATTTTTATAAAAATAAAGATTGATTTAAAGATTTTTTAAAATGATTTTTGCAAAATTTTTATAAAATTTTTATAAAAAAGATTAAATTTAAAAATACAGATCCAGAAAGTGAAAAGGAAAGAAAAAACATGAATGAATCTCTTGGGAAATGACTGAATCAGTTTGAAAAAAATTTTCCGTGTAAATGGAAAAATTTGTTAATAAAAGAGATTTGTTGAACTGTCTTAACTAGTATTAAAGAAATTAAAGAAATTAACAATCATTCACCGTTCGATTTTGCTTATTTTATATTGAATGCAAGAGGAGCAAATTATTTTAGATCGCGTTCAACAAATTGTTACATTTCTTATCTTATTACATTTCGTTCAAAACGACAGAGTGACCAAGAATATAAAAAATAACGAATAAACTTTTTATATATAACTTTTAAAGGTAGCCAGGTGTCGAATAAAGGTAGCCAGGTGCTGAAAATGTCGACAAGGCCCTTTTCGAGAAGAGCAACCAAATCCGCTAATATAAATTTTTGAGGCGCCGAGGAATCACTTGCGCTTAAATCTGAAAGAAAAAGTTCTATCCTAACGAAATCCCACCAAAGTTGTGAAAATGAAGCAGAGATTTGAAGAGATAAATTTATATTGCCCTATGTAATGATTTCAGAAATTTTTGATTAGGCTCGTTCCGCTGGCTTGCTGGAGAAACCAAATTTTTTCAACGAATCATTTAGCGATAGAAAAACAAATGAATCACTCGCCTTTCGAGCACTAACAGGTTGAAATCGAATGTCGTCCAAAATTAAAATTTAGACGAAAATTTTCGAAGGATAAGGAAAAGATGAATTCAAATGAGGCACTTAGCGCCGTTCATCAAAATAGGTATTCAAAATTCATGAAACTCGTTTTTTTTCTATCCATTCGTCCCTATACTAATCAGTATAATGTTCTTCCGTCAGAAAATCACTTAGCTATAGAAGTAACTTCAAAGTGACTTCCTTTCTAGCGGAAATTTTTAATTAATA